GAAATCCTGATTTGGTCCTATTCCACCTTTCCAATCCACTGCTGATTCCACCGAAAACCCCTCCTTCCCTCACTTCCTCGCCCAGAATAAATTGCGACCCTCCCCCAACCTTTACTCGGCTCCAGTGTGAGGCGAGGATTCCTTGCCGTAGGCTCATTTTGGAGATCTAGATCAGCTTCCAAAACAAAAGCTGGGCGCAGCGCGCACGCAAGGCGCATTTGAGGGAGAAGCACACTCAGGATTATCGGTGGGTCAGTTCACGTTATTTGAGTGCCACGCGGTGGCGATAAGGCAATCTATGGCTCCGTTTGTTTTCACCAGCACATTACTTTCATGCGTCTGGGCTTCTATTTCTTATGTCCGTACTCAGAAATATTATATTTGCTCCTGAGGACAATAAATTGGAGAGAGAAATTAATCAAAAAGCCGTTTTCCATTGATTGCTTTTTATGTGGTAGTAAATGTTTATTGAGTAATAGGCTAGGCTTATTAATTTTCCGCTAGCACCGTTCGAATCGCCTTTCTAAACAAAGCCATTTCAGAATGCTGTCTTGAACGCATGTCATGGATGTTCCTTCGTCATCGACATCCTCACAAGATGTTGTGGATGATGCTCCTGATGGAGCTCCCACCCATTTTCTTATGGAGCTCGTTACCTTGGACCATCTAATGATGACATCAAGTTCGTCCAAGAGGTCAAAGGTACTTCACTGCTTTGTTTTTTAGATTAGGCGAGAAGCCTTAGTTGCTATTGGACCAATGCTTCAACATAGACTACTGCGAAGCTTCTTCCGCGGAATGTCCCTGTTTTTTTTTCAGTTGACCGTGCCTCGCTGTGTCACCTCAGTTTTTGATTCTTGGTACTTCGACCGGTGGTGTGTCTGTGTATGGTCGTTATTCCTCATCTCGAAAACGTCTCAACACTCCCAGCGGCCTCTCCATTTCATTCAACACCAAGGATGGCCCCGTGAGCGCGGTAAGAATTGATTTTTTTTCATTTTTCTGCGGTCAAGGTGGCACTAGCGTGAAATGAGTAAAAATGTTGCGCCTTTGTTCTGAAGGTGTCTTCAGGAGTCATAGATGATGGTCTTTTCTTGGGTTATTCTTTTTTATTTTGTGCCCAACCATCTTTATGAACTTCGCTTAAAATAACCGCTTCTTGATCGTGACCAAGCGCTCACCTTCATTTCGAGCGGCGCTGAATTGGGATAAGCGTAGCTCTTGTGCATCTGCAAGGGTAAAGTAGTGTCATTGATTGGGTTGTATGAAGGCTAGATCAGTAACGCGTTACCATTTTGTGGTCGTGAAGCTTATTTCACCATATACCTCGGGCCATGTCTTCACTTGTGTGTTGCATCTAAACCAGCCCCTTTGCATAATCCTGCCCATTATTCGTTTCCAAGCTTGGCAGTTACACAAACAGGTAGGGAGTATACCAGTGAGTGCTACATGTAAAGCGAGGGAGAGCAAAGGTTGCCGTCATCGATACACAAATTATCACGATGCTGTGATAGAAAGGATGATTATGAAATGAGGATCCAGAGGAAGACGCAGCAAAAGCTTAGCTTCTCAGAAGTTCTAACGGAGAATACCGACTTGTAAATTGTTTCCTATGAAAGTGGTCTGTCCATCGCGCTGAATCACCACCAATATGTAATATGGATGCAGCAAACGTAATTTATACTCGTGGTCCCAGTAAGAAATGGATATCTACGAGCGCCATCGATTTCGGGTTTTCCTTGTCGTATGCTTATTTTCTTGTATTCTGCTTTTCTTTCTTTGAAACCTGCCGCAGATTCGAAGAGGTTCCACGTTGGTCGTTGTTAATTCTGCAGTTTATTCATTGCAACCTCAGGCCGTGTGAGAGTTCGTGGTCAAAAGTTTCTCAAGAGAATGAGCAAAAAGGAACTTTACATAAGTGTATAACCTGCAGCACGCAATAAGCGGCGTCCTACGGTAGAGGCGGTGGGTTGACGGACTACTTGAACCCGGTCCTTTAAGCCGCCTCAGATCCATCTCTCGTCTGCGCTCTCTCACCTTATCAGCGGCTCATGACCATTGTGATCACACACATTCAAACTTTTGCCACACTGTAGTTGGCTCACCCACCTCGAAGTCCCTCTTACAAGGCTTAGTCCTAGGACTCTCACCTCCTTCCCTGGAATTTAAAGGCCGGAGCCAGGCGGCGTTCTCTAACTGTCTGTGCCCTCCGCCATTCGTGGTAGGACCATAGGAAAAGTTCAAGTTCCGTAGACGCCGATGGGTGTTGAAGTGGTAGCGTAATCAGGTTCATTGGTGAACCTTTGGCTTCTTTCTGTCGGATTTGGAGTGTTATTGATTCGAAATGGCGTCAAAGCATGGCAGATGCCCAGTCACATATCATGATCCGATGATGAATTTCAATGGTAGCGCAAAATTTCTTAATCTCACCTCTTGTAAGGTTAACCATGTAACCTTTTCAGTTGTGTGTTGCTCCAAAAGAAGGTCTCATAGCTGTTGGAAGTGATAGTGGACGAGTTCATGCAATAGAGTTCTCTCTACATCACCATCTCCTGTGAAACATCTGTTAACAAGAGACACTAGAAGGTTGAAGAAAGTAAGCTCTTACTAAAGTCTGTTAAGCTTCTGAAAGTTCTTCCCCTATTTCTGAAAATATAACTTGATTTGGAAGTCCCAGTTTCTCGTTCTTTTTTCAGTAGCGGATAGAAATGGAAGAGTATGAAGAACGTATATTACTCTGAGGTTACTTATGAATGAGCGCAGTTAGACGTGTTTTAAAACCAAATTATTATCAACTAGTTGGTCTTGTCTCATGGTTTAATTAAGGAAAGAGTCATCAGCAGTTTAGAACAGGTGTTGGTAGAATGTTTCGAAGCGAAATTTTATCTCATTTTTTCGCCGTTTCTGCAGTTAAGTCTTGTACCCAACTTGGGAAGCGTTGTATGGGGAGAGAGGGGGAGTTGAATTTCTAAAGCCTATTAAGGGGAACAGAAAATCCATTCATCAGTTCTTTTTTGAATTATTTGAGTTTCATACTGCTTTGTATGCTGAATATTTCTGAATTTTTGCAATAATTTTTTTAGGTAACTAGTTTGATGTGGTCCACAGATTCTAAAAGACTATATTCGGGTCATGAAAATGGTACTGTCATGGTGCATTATTTAGATGTGAGTTTGTTGGCTTTTGTCGTTATTTTTTCTCATACACAGTGCTCAAAGTTTGTTTACACTTGATTGTGTACGAAAGGGCAGGATAGATGTGATATCTTCTTTTTTAATAGGCGAAGTATCTCTTCCGTTCCTCCTGTGCCGTTGTTGCTACTTTTGAGGAAGGACAAATCGTTCAGCTAGACGTGAATGGACCAAATGTCTTGGTATCCACGCAGAGTGCTTCATATGTTTGCAATGTAGATGAAAAGAGCGTTATCCAAGTATGCTAGCATTCCCATTTTCTCAGGATAGTACTTCTTTTAACGATTCTTCCATTTTACAGATAGGGAAGAAACCGCGTAATGGGCTCATGGGTGCGTGTTTCATCTCTCCTGCACAAGAAGAATTGTCTAGTACTCAACAAGGCGGCTTCATTCTGGCTGCCCGACCAAATGGTCGAGTCTGGGAAGCGAATGCTGCTGGAGTTGTTTACAGGTAGGTTTCTCAGTTTTAGTCAGAACTAGTCTGCCGATTTCGGCCGCAGGAAACTTTTTTCTTGCGTAAGCTTCCTTATCATTGGAAATTCCTTATCCCATTCCCTTGGCCAGGCTAAATAGCTCAGATATCTTTCACTGCTTTTGCTTATTTCTCTTTTTTCATAGGACTCATCAACTCCGAGAGAATGCCACTTATCCCCGTCCTCCCATTATTTCATGCCGCAACGATTATTCGTGTGTCCGAAGAAATATCGATGCTGGTGATGCCGAAGCGAGAGATGCAGTCACTTTGAGTGTGCTGCAACATATCATCGTTGACGGGTATGTGAGAATTTAACTGCTTTGCCTGTGATCCATAATACGTTGGTTCGTATTCACACATTCATTTGATCTAATATATCTACGAATACGCTTAAAACTGATAGTCTTTCAGACAATGATAAGCACGATTTTTCGGAGAAATATCATTTTAAATTTCTGTATGTTCCTCCGAATTCATGGCGCACGCCGTCGGTGTCTACAAGCAATAATACGTGCTTTTTTGGGAAAACGAGCATTAATCGTGAATAATCTGTCGGAATCTTCGCCAAATATGAAGGAAATCTCGAAGCTAAGGTTCAATATTGACTGCACACAGCTCTCAGTCAGCGTAACCTGACGCTTAGGCTGGTGTCAGAATCTGCGATCCGTCGCAAATTCGCTGATTTTCGCGATTTGCGCGGTTTGCGCGTTTCACGCGATTTTCGCGATTTGCACGATTCACGCGATTTGCGCGAAACCTGCGACGGATCGCAAAATTGCAGGTGCCCCATTTGTGAACATTTGAAACACTGAATATGAAACAAGTTGAATCAAGAGCAGTCGCACTCAGCCATCACTATCGAGCAGAAGTGGCGGCAAGATTCGAGAAAACGACGCAGGAAAACATGTTCGCATGAAAAAAGTGCCAGTGTCAAAAACCCCCCTCTGCAACGACTTTCCGTTAAAACTTGTTGGAGAAAATCTCTGAAAATTCGTTCGTGTTCAGTTTATGTCATTGTCGATATCAATCAAAGAATGTGAAAGGTAGAAAAGTTCAACATTGATGAAAATTCGTGTTCTTCCATTCATGCTCCTGTGTTCATGCAGAGAATTCGATGAAAGTACATTGTTCATTAGTTATTATTCGCTCTCTCAAAACTAGGCCTCTACCTTTTCGTAATAACTTCGACAATCCATTTCCCGCTACGTCCACGCCACAGTTTGGCATTGTGACATTATCTGTCTACTATCATCGTTTGAGATCAAGAGTGAGAAGGGAACTCGCTGAAGTACGCTTTTCAAAAATGCTTAAAGTCCTTTCGCTCTGCTTTACCTACTTTTTTAGCCATTTCTTGAAATTCTCAATAGATGCAGTGATATTCTTGCAGGGTCCACTTGATTCTTATCCTTTTTCTGTCGTGTCCTAAAATCATTGTTCGATGTGACAATTCCAAACTGGTTTTGGTCGTCGATTGGAAAGGTAGAATACTTGCCATTTATCATCTCAACATTGTAAAAGTAGCACGTAATAGTATTAGTGGAATTGAAATCCTTTTAGAAATACGCTGTTGTTGTATTTGTGGTGCTGACATTTTCGTTGCTCTCCGTGGTAATGCAATTCCTCGAAAGTACACCTTATGCAGCCGTACAGCAGTTGTGAAACGATTGCTAGCAAAGTCCCTTCCTGTCAGGTTAGTTCACTCACCATGCACTAACGTAACTCTGCTTCAAATGGTTTTTGTAGTCTGCTCACTTCATAATGAATTACAAGAGTTGTTTATGGCCACCTGATCTCGTGAATGCCACTGCAGATGCTCTCGCGCAGTTGTCTAAGAAGGTTTTGAATTGCAAGTAATAATTGATTTTTCAGTGGTAGTGTTTGCGAAGAAAGCTGTCAAAGTGTTTACCTGAGGGTCTGGAAATGACAGTATTGATAAGAAAACTGTCCAAATTCAGAATTTTGGGGAGGTCTCGCATTTGATTGTGGAGACACCTGTGAACATAAGTGATTCAAGCTTTCCTGATAATCGGTCATGGAGACTCACAAAAATGAAACTAAAGGTGTTGAGTAGTTATCTCTCTCAAAAGAAGAAAATGAGGGGTTCTGTAGAGGCTTCTGAATGGAGGCTCTCGCTTTTGAGCTGATCTTTTGACAAGGTAGAGCGAGATCAATGTGAGCAACATTTGTTGGTTTTTTTCTGGTGTTTTGAGCGAGTTGCCTATCGTTGCGTCCAGTTATACTCGAGCTCGTCATCCGTTTTCTTCATTGAAACTGTTTTCGTCATCTGACTTCTTGTAGTATCTCATCTTACAATCAACGCTAGTCTTTCTTGCTTCGCGATGACTGTCCATTTAAAACGTAGCTTTTGAGATGGGCAGGATTGCTGCTTTCAACTATGTTATTAGTTTCTTCAAGCAGAGAATGTTTATTCTTCTTTTTGCGGAAACGTTGAAGCCATTTCGTTATTGTCAGCGTTGCTTTCATAATATGAAAAACAAACATGTCCCGCTTCAGTCACATTCACTGAATGTTGGCTGTCGTTCTATAATACTGTATTCGCGAAGTTTGTCGAGTTTAGATGTCGGTCAGACTCTGCGATTGCATCGCGCGATGCAATCGCAGAGTCTGACCGACATCTTACACGGACATTACTGCTTCCAGATATGAGGAGCGTTTTGAACTATCTGTGAAGAAACATCCTCAAAATAATATTGATCTGGAACAAGTGCTCTCAAGCGGTGAAATTTTGCCCAATAAAATCCCAAGCCCGACCCAATGAATGGTGCATGATGAAGCACTGCTCATGGCATAGCTAGCTGCCCTATTTCCACTCTGATTACAATTTTTCCAACGAATATATCAGCTTACTTCCAACCCAGTAGTTTGTGAACGGTGAAGCTGAAAAACAGGGACCTAATTATTACTAACGGTGAGCTATGCTTTGTAAAAATAAAAACAAAAAGGAGCGAATGTGGTAGGTAACTATATGGTAAGATGGGAAACAACAACTAGGGTACTAGGTAATGTGAAATTTCTTCACATTTGTAAGCGTAATCCATGTCTTCATAGTTGAGTTCCTCGAGCATCTGGCCATTTGTTTTTGGGCCTTAACTCTTCATACTATTAGTACTTGTTTTGCATGGGAAGTTAGTACTGTCTACATGTAATCGGGTCTTATTAGAAGCATGCGCGCTCAGTGGCGAAGTGTAGCTCACGAGGAGTGTTCTGTGTCTTTGTGTGAGAATGCGCTACTTCCCACGGTCGCTCCTGTCTCCACAGAGTCGGAGGCCTTCGTCATGTCGGTGAATGTGAGATATAGCTACATCCTGTACTCTCTTGGCACCTCATTTCAACCCAACAGCCTCGTAGCTTCGTTACAGTCGATCGTGCTGAACCTTCTTCGAAACCTTGCTTACTCACATATCTCATATTCATTCATATTCTGCCGATTCTTTAAAGGAGGAATTCACGATTAGAATGAAGGTCGAAGAAGGGAAATTGCCTAGTTGAGGAGACCCGGCGGACCTCCTGAGGGTGCGGACTGACGCGCAATTGGCAGCGAAAGATTTGACCTCGGCGACCTAGCATGGCTCACTCTTGGCGCGGTTGGCGGGGTACGCCCACCGACATCTAATCACTCGCCGCAGGTCTATACGTGGCGAGTGATTAGATAGCAGAGAGAGCGTAGTGTTGAAGAGGGCACAGCGATGAGAGTCGCATCAATGCGCAAAAAGAAGGGGTCCCATTTCTCGGGTTCTGGGCCGTTTCTCATGGTTTTTCCTTCTTTCATGTATCACTCAAGGGCGGAAGTGGTGTAGTGGCAAGTGGCACGCTTACCACGCGAGCGGTCCGGGGATCAAATCGTGAGTCGCCCGGGCCAACCAAGCCTTCCATCCCTCCGGGGTCGGTTAATTGGTACCAGACTTGTCTGGGAGGATAAAAACACTGACTTGTACATCGGCTGGCCCCCGCAAGTCATTGTATAGGCCACATCGCATTCAAACGCCACTACGAATGTACAAATGGAAGTAGAATGCGTGCCGCATCCCAAAAAGGGATTGATCAACGGCAAATGCTTTATCCTTTATCCTTTTACCATGTACCACTCATCATTCCTAAGTTAATTTGAAATGGTTGCTTTTCCATCATCAATTCTGCCTTTAAGGTTGACTCAGTGAAAAATTGTAACTCTAGACAACAGACAGATTGGGTAATAATTGCCAATGAAGTGCATTTTCTCACTGTCACACAGCAATTTGAGCATGTGTGCACTGAAAAGGAGAGCCAGCGATTGACGTACCAACTGCTAACGTAGATTCAGATGCTTTGGTCTCGCAGTAGCAGTTCGATCTCAATAGTTTTGGGTGGCACTCTGCGTCAAGCCCCAAAAACAGGGGACCGTCGAAAAATCCCTCAACAAGAATGCCTTCTCTTCCGTCTCGTAATAAGGAAAGGGGGTGTGTGGAGGGGTTTTTGAACGCAGCCGATAAATGTGAGGCAGCTCTATCATATCTTTATAGCTATCGGCTATCTGACCGCTGGCTTGTAAACCTGTCGCGTTGGATAAGCAAGATTATCGTTGATTGCGATATTCTGCGCGATTTGCTCAATTTGTAAGGGTTTAGCGCCCTTGTCGCGCACTTTCCAGCCGCAACAGCTGCAATTCTTATTCTCGTGGACACCTCTATCCTGCTCACGGGAAAGATTGATTCATATGACCTTCATCCTGGGATGTTGCTTTGAGATCTTCCTTCATCTTCTCTCTGCCTAGTTCGCAAACCGGACGTGGGTTAGTAAGACTCGCAACTGAGTCTCCAGTCGTGCGGCTCCACGTTGGCGTATCTCGAGAGCTCTCGAAGCGGAACGTCCCTGTGACTTTCAAACTGTCTTTTTCAGTAATTTCTCCACACGACTCTAATAAACTGAAATACTTCTCCGTCAATACATTCGATAGTGGAATCCCAGCATACGTTGGCGAGGAGGAGCGTGATACCAATTGATGGCTGTCTTGGAATTTTGTTCTCTAAGTTTGTGGCCCTTACCCCATGGAAGTAAGCAAACCAGCCCTTTTGGCGTTTCTGGGCGGTCTGAAAGGTGCAAGGGGATGGGTCGCCCGAGGTCGCGACAGACTACTCGACTCGTGGGTCTCGAGGTCGAAGACTACTTCAACTCGGTCGGTACGGTAGGAGAGTGATGACGAAGTGGTGCAGCTAGGTCCAGCAGCTCCGCCAAAAGGGCTGGTTTGCTTACCCCAGGACTAAGCCTTGGAGAGAGGACGGACAGGTCCGTCCTCTCTTTAAGGCTTAGTTCTGAGGTAAGCATCAAATTGAGGCGGTTTTAAGGACCGAGTTGAAGTAGTCCGTCGACCGTCGGGGACCCATCCCCTCCCCAACATTCAGCATACGGCCCCAGCAGAAACGCCAAAAGGGCTGGTTTGCTTACTTCTTACCCTATTCGTCAAAAAACATTCTAACTAAGTGGAGGAGACCCATGCAACTCTTCAGACGGTCAAGCTGCGACCACGGCAAAGCATTTGCTTTGTAAGCAATACTGCTTGAAACATATAGACTGCAGAAATGAGTAGTTTAATTTAATTAGATTTTTTAATTGCGAAATCTCTTAATAACCACCTTGAGGAGACTTCATGCTTTTGGAATACACTGTCGAAAATTGAGTGTCAGACCACAAGTCGTTTCAGCGGACCGTGCTAGTGTGCGGGATACATTAGGGAGAACAAGACGAAGAAGACCAGCAGTCGTTTAGGTGATGGCTTCACGTTTCGTGGGGAAGCCAGTTGTGACTCGTTCCGCTCTAGCAGTCATCTACACGGAGTGCCCTCCAAATAAGCTTCAGTACTTGGCTAGCGGGTGTCATCGCTCCTTCTTCTATTTCTTTTTTTTTATCAGCAAGGGGGTGGGGGTCCCTGACTTCCAGTCCAGCTTCCAACGTCATAAACTAACCGAATTTTTGGCCTGATTACGTTGTCTGATTCGTTGAGGCGCGTATGTTGTGGCAGAAAAAGTCGCAGAATCAAATAGGGTGTAACCGCGCCGGATGTTTTTTGTCCTTTTCGTTACTCCCGCGATGTTCCTAAATGCTTCCCATGTCGCTCGATTCGTCAAATGAGCATCAGCCTACGCAGATGACTGCTTTTTATCTAGCAGATACCCATAGCATAGAAAATTTCACGTGTAATAGTTGAGCATGGTGCGATAGCAATCATCCTGTTTCCCATTGCCGTCATCTTTGGCTGTTTTATCTGTGAACCCTTCCATACGTGCTGGAAAATTTGGTCGGCATTCACTTCGATTGGCTAATGCTCGGTGTTATGGGCCCCTGAAGAATTGCCGCTCAGCTTTTCACCCATCGACAGGGCTCCTAAATCACGCAAAAGGCTCGAAGCCTAGTTCGAGAACTAGATTCACGTCAAGGCAGTTTTCAAGCACTTTTCCAACAATCTTCAGTTCCGAGAGGATACACCTGTTTCTGGCTCATGTCATGTCAGTGTGAGGAGTGCATCCAAAGAAGGGAAGTTAGAAGTGAGATTTCAGCTTTCAACACCACTGCGATTACTCACACTCTAGCTCTAGTGATTGCGAAAGTCAGTAAAGTCAT